CTCCTCCTCCTCCTCCTCCTCCTCCTCCTCCTCCTCCTCCTCCTGCTCCTCTTCCTCGTGCGGCCTCCACCGCCCCGTAGTAGGCTCGGGGGGACGCATCGACCCTCAAACGCCCACTGATCGTCGATGGGGGACTGATAGCCCACTCCGTCCAGCCACGTGCGGATTCGCCATCGGGGGCTTATCGCCGATCTATCTGCGATGTATCGCTGATTGGGCGTTCCCCCCCTGATCTGATCCTCTCCCCCCTGACGTTCCCCCTCTTGTCAAGGGCGTGTCCCGCTTCAGCACCGAGCGCAACAAGCCCCTGGACTCGGGCTCGCTTCTCGAGGTGCAGGGTGCCAAGTTCGGCGCGCCGCCGCCGCCGTCTTGACCACCGTCGTCTCGACGCCGTCACTAGACATACGCCGGCGGCGCGCCCGGTGGGGAGGTGAGAGAGGGGGCAGCCCTTCTCAGAAGTCGGCGGGGCTCCTCAGAAGCCCTGGGGCTTTCCGAGAAGTTGTTTTGTGTCTTCGGGAGAGGCTTAGAATTATCCCAGTGCGACCCTACCTAGGAGTTGGAGCACCTAGGAAAGCAGCATTAGTAGTAACAGTAAAGCTAAGCTAAAGCTAAACTAAAGCTAAGCTACAGCGAAGCTAAAGCGAAACTAAAGCTAAGCTACAGCTAAGCTAAGGCTAAGCTAAAGCTAAGCTAAAGCTCAGCTAAAGCTAAGCTAACACTAAGCTAACGCTAAGCTAGAGCTAAGCTAAAGCTAAGCTAGAGCTAAGCTGAAGCTAAGCTGAAACCAAGCTGACACCAAGCTAAAGCTAAGCTGAAGCTAAGCTAGAGCTAAGCTAAAGCTAAGCTAAAGCTAAGCTAGAACTAAGCTAAAGCTAAGCTGAAGCTAAGCTGAAGCTAAGCTAAAGCTAAGCTAAAGCTAAGCTAGAGCTAAGCTAAAGCTAAGCTAGAGCTAAGCTGAAGCTAAGCTAACGCTAAGCTAGAGCTAAGCTAAAGCTAAGCTGAAGCTAAGCTGAAGCTAAGCTAAAGCTAAGCTAGAACTAAGCTGAAGCTAAGCTGAATCTAAGCTAGAGCTAAGCAAGGCTAAGCTAGAGCTAAGCTGAAGCTAAGCTGAAGCTAAGCTAAAGCTAAGTTAAAGCTAAGCTGAAGCTAAGCTAAAGCTAATCTAAAGCTAAGCTAGAGCTAAGCTAAAACTAAGCTAAAGCTAAGCTCAAGCTAAGCTAAAGCTAAGCTGAAGCTAAGCTAAGCTGGGTGAACCCAGGGGGCGCGACTGGAGGAACCGCGGGGCGGGGACCGGGGGAACCGCCCGGGGCGCTTTCCACTGCCCGGCCCCTTTAAGCTAAGAGAGTAAGAACCCTCTAGGCAGAGCCTAGGTATGGAAAAGTCCCAGACGGCACAAGGCCTTCCGAGCCTTCTGAGAAGGCCCGCTCCTACTCACTTCCCCCCTGGGTTCTCCGCCCAACCCAGCGCTCACTTGTCCCGACCATCCTATCCTGTGGTGTTGCGTCCTCGTTTGAAGAGAGCGCCCCGCGTTCTCACTTCTCCTCCTCTCCTCCTCCCCGTCCTCCCCTCCCTCCTCGCATGCCCATTCCGGCACACCCCTCACACGGTTCGCGGCCCCACAGGATGCTCCACCGAAGGCCCCAGTGGTTGCGTCCGCATGCGCCATCCCCGCCCACCGCACGTCCATTCTGGCACACCCCTCACACGGTTCGTGGCCCCACAGGGAGCTCCACCGCAGGCCCCAGTGGCCGCGTCGGCATGCGCCCTCCCCGCCCACCGCATGCCAATTTTGGTACACCCCTCACACGGTTCGTGGCCCCACAGGATGCTCCACCGAAGGCCCCAGTGGTGGCGTCCGCATGCGCCCTCCCCGCCCACCGCACGTCCATTCTGGCACACCCCTCACACGGTTCGTGGCCCCACAGGGAGCTCCACCGCAGGCCCCAGTGGCCGCGTCGGCATGCGCCCTCTCCGCCCACTGCATGCCAATTTTGGCACACCCTTCACACGGTTCGTGGCCCCACAGGATGCTCCACCGAAGGTCCCAGCAGGAGTAGGAGCAGCAGGAGCACGACGACGACACCATGAGGAGGCATCATACAGGCGCTGAGGAAGCCCAGAGGAGGGCGACGACCAGAGGAGGAGGAGGAGGAGGAGGAGGAGGAGGAGGAGGAGGAGGAGGAAGAGGAGAGGAGGAGGAGGAGGGGAGGAGGTAGGGAGAGGAGGAGGAGGAGGAGGAGGAGGGGGGAGGAAGAGGAGGACGAGGAGGAGGAGGAGGAGGGGGAGGATGAGGAGGAGGAGGAGGACTAGGAGGGGGAACAGGAGGAGGAGGAGGAGGAGGAGGAGGAGGCCCTGGGCTGAGGCGCGCCTAGGCCGCCGCAGCGCGGCGGTGGGAGGGGCCGCAGGCACTCGCGGCCGCGGGGGGCGAGCGGCGCGAGGGCCCTGCGGCCGCCCCTGGGGCCAATGTCGGTTCCTCGGTGAGTCCGGCTGGGAGCCTGTTTTTTATACGCATGCAAGATTACTTTTTTTTGTTTTTTTTTTTGGTTTTTTGTTTTGTTTTTTTGTTTGCATGGCGTTCGCCCCCCCCACTCGCCCCTCTTCAATCGAACACGAGCGTGCAAGTGCCTCTCGACTTGCGTGATTTCCTTACGTCGAACTGTTTTCGGCTTGCTTCAGACTCAGCCCCCCCCCCGTCCATGCAAGTAAACTTCCCGGAATCCAAAGAAAAACAGGCTCTGGCCTCTGCGAGCCCATCCTGCTGGGCATCGTGCTCGGCACCGCTCGCACCGCACTCCTGGGCCTCCTGGCGGCCGCCTGGCTGCAGTGCAAGAAGGGCCCCACCCTCGGGCTGTGAGCGGCGCCCGGCGCTTCTCGGCGGGTTGTCTCTTTCTCCCGGAGGCTCCTCCGGACGAGGCCTGCCTCCCAGTGTGCGCTGGTGCTGATTTGGCAGAGGATTTTCAGGGAAGCCGGAGCGCGAGCCCGCTTCTGGCGAACACGGCTCTCCTCGGCATTGACCCCGTCGACGACCCAAAGATCGAGATTGTAGCGACGGGGTTGCCTATCCAGCGCGGCATTCCGGCGGGGGTGGATATTACAATCGTATCGCCGTTGCATGCGGACGGTACGCCATTCCAGGAGGTTGTGGCGACACTAGGAAGCGCATTCAAAAGAGCCACCGAAGGCCCCAGTGGCCGCTTCCGCATGCGCCTTCCCCGCCCACCGCAGGCCCATTTCGGCACACGCCTCACACTGTTCATGACCCCATAGGAAGGTCCACCGAAGGCTCCAGTGGGAGGGGGCGCATGGCACCACGGCGCCCAATTCGGCACACCCTCACACGGTTCGTGGCCCTATAGGGAGGTCCACCGAAGGCTCCAGTGGGAGGGTTCGCATGGCACCACCGCGCCCAATTCGGCACACCCCTCGCACGGTTCGTGGCTCCACAGGATGCTCCGCCGAAGGCTCCAGTGGGAGGGTTCGCATGGCACCACCGCGCCCAATTCGGCACACTCCTCGCACGGTTCGTGGCTCCACAGGATGCTCCACCGAAGGCTCCAGTGGGAGGGTTCGCATGGCACCACCGCGCCCAATTCTGCACCCCTCACAAGGTTCGTGGCCCCACAGGATGCTCTGCCGAAGACTCCAGTGGGAGGGTTCGCATGGCACCATCTTGCCCAATTCGGCAATTCCCCCTCACACGTCTCGTGGCCCCACAGGATGCTCCACCGGAGGCTCCAGTGGGAGTGTTCGCATGGCACCACCGTGCCCAATTCGGCAAGCCCCTCACACGGTTCGTGGCCCCATACGGAGCTCCACCGAAAGCAGTACCCTCATTGCGGTACTCGCAGCTGCATGTGTTCGGGTATTTCGCCTGGCTAATTTTTCGGTGCGTGGGCCCCTGGAGGACTGGGCCACTTCTCCAGGGCCAGTTTGTCGTCCTCCGTCGAAACCTTGACGGTCCCGGGGCCCGTTGAGGGCCCCCAGAGGTCGAAAACGGCCCAAACCCAGCCGCTTCAATTGCTGTCAGAGCCTCGGATCTTGGGTCGGCGTCCTCGTCGCCGTCCTCGTCGCGGTCGTCGTCACGGTCCTCCCCGTCATCGCTCTCCTCGCCGCTTTCCTCGTCCTGACCTCCGCCTCCGAGCCCCCCCCCCTCCTGACGTGCTCGCCGTGGGCCTGCACCAGTTTGAGCGTCGCTCGCTGCTTCGCCCTCTCGCCCCCGCCCCATCGGCCGCTCCGCCCTAGTCGCCACCAGGGCTCGTTTCGTCTCCTCCGATTCGATTCGATTTGATGACGATCGATTCCGATTCGATTTCGACTTCGGATTCCGATTTGGATTTTGGATTTCGGTTTCTCCAGGGAGGCCTTGCTGGCGTGCCGATATCTGCCGACTCCACTTCTTTGGACTCGGCTGCCGGTTTCTACCAATCCCGTTCATTTCGATTGGTGATCCGATTTGTCGATTCGATTATGTCCTCTTCTGTCTTCCTCTGGGAGGAGGGAGGGAGTTGGAGGCATTGGCTCGAGTAACGATCGCGGCAAGGCGTGCTCAAAGACTAGTCACAGAGAATAAGTGGCAACGGGGAATACACATATATATATATATATACATATACATATACACGTGACCCTGGCGACGTACCCAACCCCTGCGCAATGCGGGGCAGGAGTAGCTCGGGAGATTTGACGAGAAGGCGGCGACGTGAAATGGACGCATATACGTCTGCGAGCTGCATTCGGAAGGTTCGCAAGTCCGCAATCAAGGGAAAAGCGATGAGTAACTAACTAAGTAACCCCCTGAGTCGCTGGGGAGGACGCAAGGTCCAAAAAGAGACGGTGGGCAAGGGGCGTGGAACGTCGGAGGGCCGCAACATCATGACATGGCCCCCTAAGGACGGCGAGGTCTACATCCGATCCGCGCGGTGCCTCACTCCGCTGGACCCACCAGCAGCCCTCGAAAGTGGCGAGCCCACCAGCAGCCTTCGAAAGTGGCGACAGTTCCG